CGCTCCTCACACACCCTCTAGTCTCAAACACCCTCTACTCTCACACACCCTCTACTCTCACACACCCTCTAGTCTCACACACCCTCTACTCTCACACACCCTCTACTCTCACACACCCTCTACTCTCACACACCCTCTACTCTCCCACACTCCCTCTACTCTCACACACCCTCTACTCTCACACAGCCTCTACTCTCACACACCCTCTACTCTCACACACCCTCTAGTCTCACACACCCTCTACTCTCGCACTCTCCTACACACACACTTGAGGCGCGCGTATATCTATCGCTCACTTTCCCGCTGTGACGTGAAAGTTTCCCGCTAGCTTGTTGACGGTCAGAACGCCGTAGAATCGGCAGGCGTCCGGCGGTCCGGTCGGTTTCTCCTCCCTGAAAGAACGCAGAGAGAGACTCACGATAACGCTACGTCGTGCAGCGCGTTTTACACGTGTACTTATTAAAAGAATGTTAAAAAAAACTAGTAACATAGTTACATAGCGTAAAGATTTTCCGGGTGCTGAGTTTATAGTGATAAATTAGTAGACGAGAGAGCGTATCGACATCTGTAGTGTAAGTACTTTGTTTGTAGGAGAACTGAGGGTCGGTTATAGACGTGATCAGGGTCAGATGTACTTTGAAATAATAAGCATGTACGTAAGTTGCGCTAGGGACAGAACAGAATGATAGACAGAGCTGAAATGAGGAGCGACATGTGGTCACACGTATTAGATGGCTGTGTCCCAGCTGAGAGCGATCAGTGACACTCATGAGGTTGGCCGACAGGATACAGTACACAATCTATTATCTGAAATTCTGAAAACCGAAAAGCTCCGAAAATCGAAAGTTTTTTCGAGGAGATCGTCTGCACACCAAAGCTTGCGTTTGGTGCCAAAACTCGACCCGACCGAATATTAATGTGTTTGGCATTACTCATACATATTGTGCTGTAACGGTACAGCACTTGGCCTCTCGAAAACTTGGGTTTTAGTACTGGCTAGTTGCAGGATATACAGTATGTATATCTGTACTGTGCTACCATTCCGAAAAACAGAAAAATGCCGAAATCCAAACTTGTCTGGTCCCAATGGTTTCGGATAATCGACTGTGTACTGTACGAGCGAGAAGTGCGGAAGGCGAAGGGTGTCGTTACCTCTCCGGCAGCCGATTTGGAAACTGCACGTATCCAGTCTTCCACAGCAGTTTGTGAACGGCGTGATATTCCTCCTAATGGGATCAAAACAAACGATTTAATGTGAAGAGTGGAAGCATGAATTGAGCAAAAACAATTGAATAAACAATCAGACACACGTACAAGGATGCGGACACAAAGACAGATAGGCAGACAAATAGAAAGACAGCCAACCAGACAGACAGCGTCTCTCAATGGAGTTTTCGGCTACTACAGCGCTCGACGGAGATGCGGATAAGCGAGCTACGAGGTTCGTACGGAGATTTCCTCGGAGCAAAGACTGAACATCAGCGTCGACATCGACACGGTGGCGATCCGCGATGCGAGAGTGAGTCACACCGGCGACAACCGCGCGGATGCTGTCTATCGGGAGTTATGGTTAGGGTTGGGGTTGGGGTTACGTTGGGGTTCAGTGAAGGTTAGCTTATGGGTAAGGTAAGGTTAAGGATAAGGTTAGGGGCTGGGTAAGGGTTAAGGGTATGGTTGATAGGGTTTGGTTAGTGCGTTTCGGTTAGGGTTAGGATAAGGTTAGGTTGGGGTTAGGATTTGGGGGTGTAGGTTAGTGTAAAGTAAGAAAGTTTAAGTGACGGTTTAGGTTATCAGTTAGGTTGGGTTAGGGGTAGGGTTGGGACTAAGTGATGGTGTGATAGTTAGGGTTGGGGTAAAGTGATGAGGGTTAGGTTAGGGGGCAGGGGTTTGGGATAGTAGTGATAGGGCGTTAGGTTAGGGTTGGGGTAAAGATGGATAGGGTCTTCAGGTTTAGGGGGCAGGGTTGGGATAAGGTGATAGGTTAGGCTTAGGTTGGGGTTAACATGATAGGGAGTACGGGTTGGTTATCTACGGGTGTGGGGTAGGAGTGCAAAGAGTTTGAGGTTAGGGTTAGGAAGTAATCAGGGTAGGTAACGGAAGAGATAGGGGTTGGCTGGGAGGTAAGTGATAGAGCGTTTGGATAGGCTTAGAGTTAGGGTTGGGGTAAGAGAGTAGAGTGTTGTGTGAGTTTTACGGGTTGGATGTTGAGGAACGAGCGCCGAGTCGTGAAGTTGTGCTTGGCCTCCGGCCCAGTGCGCGCAATTCTCGGGCGACGGATTCGCCGACGGTGCGACCGCTCCTGCGTGTTGGCAGTGATCGGGGCGGACATAACTCGACTCACGTAGCCAGAATGCTGTCGAGTCTTTCGGGCAGGGCTGAAGGAGGAAAGCTCACCTACTTTGAAGGCTGTCGAACGAACCAGGCGTGCCACTGGGACATGGATACGCAGCATCAACGGCTACATCTAAGGTACTGGGACATGAATCACGACACACAACGGCTAAATAAGAGGTACGGGGACATGACTAGCGCCATCAACGGCTACACTAAGGTACGGGGCATGATTATCGGGGCAGCATCATATGCGGGCTACTAAGGTCATGGGATCATGATACGCGATCAATCAACTGCTACATTAAGATACTGGGACAGCATGATGCGCAGCATCAACGGGCTACATTAAGGTATGGTTACAATGATACGCGGCGCATCCACCGGGACTACATAAGGTACGGGGGACTATGAATGGCGGCAGCATCAACGGCTATAGTAATGGGGGGGGGTACGGGGATCATGATACGCAGCATCAACGGCGTACATTGAAGGTACTGGGACATGCATAGCGCAGCATCAAACGGCTACATTAAGCGTAACTAGGACACGTGATGACGGCACAGCACACGGCTAATTAAGGGTATGCGGGGACATGATACAGCAGCATCAACGGCTACATGTAGGACGGGGACATTGATACGCAGGGCATCCAAACGGCTACATATAAGGGTACTAGGGACAATGATACCGCAGCACAACGGCTACATTAAGGGTACTGGGACATGATAACGGCAGCATCAACGGCGACATTAAGGTCACTGGGACACGTGAACCGCAGCAAGCAACGGCATACAGTTAACGGTATGGGCCGACATGATACGCAGCGCATCCAAGCAGGGCTACAATTAAGGTAACGGGGACATGATACGCAGCATCAACGGGCTACTTATTAGGTAGCGGGGACATGATGCGCACATCACAACGGCTACAATTAAGGTATGATAGGGACATGAACGCAGCATCAACGGCTACATTAAAGGTAATTGACATGAACGCAGGCAATTAAGAGAACGGCTACATATAGGTATGGTGACATGATACGCAGCAGCAACGGCTTACATTAAGGTAACGGGGACATGATACGCAGACATCAACGCTAACATAAGGTCCGTGCGGGCTGAAATGCCTGGTTGACTGACGCTGTTCCCAGTGTTTATTACAATAGCCATAGTCAGAGTTGTGATTCTCTAAGTGTACCCGGCTCGGTGGTCTAGCATCGCTGACCTCGTTAATGTTTTAAAGCTGCATCTAACATAGTGGTCCAGATGCACTTGTAGAATCGCATGAGCGTGGACATTGCGTTTGGCATGTGAGCCGTAAGCGTCCGGTCGTTCTGCCCGCGTCCCGTGATGGCGTCGTCAACAGTTGGCACAAATCTAAACGGCTCGACCGTTACGGGTCAACGATATTCGGGACGTGGGGGGGGGAATCGGAAAGACGATTTGGGGATGTCTGAAGTGGGGGGTCATAGCTGTCAAAGTCAGAGAGGCTGTATAAAGAAGGTGGAACATTTTCCTTCTTACTTAAGATATAGGGAGCGGAAATGCACAGAATTGCGGCACCCAAAGTCAAATGGCTCGGCCTAGGCTCGTGATTTAGTCGGTGTATAGCATCATGGTAGGAAAACATCACTTGCGTGGCAGAAATTGGAGCGTCCACAGTCCAAGGAGTCAATGGGGCCAGCGGGCAGATTTTAGACATTTTCTGAGGACATGGTCTGATAGAGGCGATTGAAAAACTTTTGTTTAGCGTGACATACGCATTGTTTATGGCTTTTATTGTGAAAGGCCATGAAATGTAGCTTTCTGCTGAACCATGGCGAAGCAGTAAGTGTCGATAACCCTTTTGACCCTCCAGAGGAGGGGTAAACATGGATATTGTTTGAACTGTTAACAAAGGACTGAACTGCTTTTGGCAATTGTGGATTCTGATGCTATCAGTTGCACAGTTCAATTGCAAGGAAAAATGGTTATTGAACAAGGTTACTTTCGCTTAAATTCATATGTATATTTCTAAAGCAGCTGTATTAGCACCCTGAGTAGCCACTCCTGTATTGAGCAGCACTCTGTAATGAACCTCACTGCTCCGTGGGTAGGCAAAGAACATGGGGGCAGCCCATTACGCTGCATGGGGGTGAAACTGGCAACTATTCTAATTCATAATTATTGCCTGCAACCTTTGCCAAAATGCAGATGTCGTTTAACTCACAGCTGAGCGAAATTCTCGCCTGCTTGAACTATACTTGGATTTTCAGCAACTGCAATGGAGTAGGTATCACGCACTGAAGGGTGACATGCCATCTTTGATTATTGATTGACACTTGCGACGCGCCCAATCTCGCGGCAACTGCTTTTCTATTAGAGCACCCTTCACCCGCCCCTCCCCCACTTCCTCCACCGACCACGCACTAACCTCCGCTCGACGCATATCCATGATAACATGTAATATATGCGAAGTCATTAAAGTTACACAGCTGATCTTTATTACATTAACTACTGGTATAGCAAAGCCTAGCTATCATAGATTTTAGATTTGTATTAAGTAGTATCCTAGATATATGCTGTAAGGCGCGAACGCGGTGATGGGAGGTGCTCTTCATTCGTTTGCCAGTGAGTTTTACATCAGAACACCTTGCCGTCAGGTGAGGCGCTGTCGCTCGCGGCACTTGTTTTAGTTATCTTTCAGGTCATTGCAAGTTCTTTTGAATAGGCAAATGATTGAACGTCTCTCTCTCTCTCTCTCTCCTCTCTCTCTCTATCTCTCTCTCTCTCCCTCCCTCTCGCCTCTCCTCTCCCTCTTCCTCTCCCTCCCCCCTCCCCCTTCCCCCCCTCTCTCTCTCTTCTCTCACGCTCTCTCTCCTTGTCCTGCCTCCCTCCCTGCCCTCCTTCCTCCCTCCTTCTCCTCCTCTTCTCTCCCTCTCTATCTTTCTTCTCTCTCTGTCTGTTTGTCT